GCCACGAATTTAGCAGCTCACGCGTTTGCAAAGATGGCACGTAGACCCACCCGACATGATTCCGCTGCTATAAATACAGAGCCTAGGGTTTTGTGCCGTGGGGTGCAAAAGAGGGTTTGTGAGTAGAGAGAAAGGCGGCTGTGAATTCTCTTTGGGCTTTTGAGAGGGTTTTTGGCATCCCCTTTGTGTGAGATTTGAGAGCTTGGCTGGGGGTTTAAGTTGTGTGGTTGTAAACCCTATTTGTATTCTCTCTCTAATAGTAAATCTCTCCCCTTTCTTGCCCCATGGACGTAGGCAATTTGCCGAACCACGTAAAATTGGTTGTCTCGCTATTTATGTGATTTGTAATAGTTTACTTAGGTTCCCTCGACAGGTTAGTCCTAGAACTGATGAGAGGAAGAGTTGATATCCCACTTTGTTGAGATATTTTACTTTTGGCTCTTGTTTCCTTGGTGAAACGGGAATTCTTGTTGCGATCTAACTCTCTTGTTGTGCTGCCGAGGTGCTGCCGAAATTTTCACTGCACACAACAGGTGAAACACGAAGCTATGAACTTTTTTTAAGACGATTGCAGATAACCTCTCTCATGTGCTGTCATACAGTTAGTTAACAGCACCCGTCATCCGACGATTAATTCATGAGATCTAGAGAGAAGTTTATTGGAAATTTGTCCTTCTCAAATTACTTATGTATTAAAGGTGATGGATGCCAATAAAAGAAAGAACTAATTAAGCAATGACAAGCACGATCTAAGGTATATATAGATGAAGTGGGTTTATGTCTACAGTTTATGCCCGTACATAACTATCTAAGTTCCATAGTATCCCATAAAATTAATTAAGATATCCTCACACCCGACAAATTGCACTCCATTACAAATTAAACCCCTAATTAATCAATCGGCCACTTCATGGTTTACGAGCTAGCCATGTTAATCTGCAGCACCTTGACCCCTACAAGCGCCAGCACGGTGCAAGAGGGCACGAACACAACGTCAGGAATGAGGCTGAGCCTGAACTTCTTTAGCTGGGGCACGTTCTCCCCGGTCCTCTTCAGCACCATGGCCGCCGGTGGGGGCCACCATGCCCGCCAGCACCATAGCCCCGTCCTCCTTCGACTTCGACTCGCTCGACAGGAGTTCTTCAAGCTTGCTCTTCAACTTGCCCATCTTTTCATCGCCATCTTTCATCGCTGCCCACTCTTGGTACCACTTCTGCGGAATTAAAATTTTGTCGCAAGAAAAAAATGTTTTAGAATATTTGAGAGCACGTAAAAAAGGCGGATTTTTCACAAAGATTAATGTCATGGACCGTTCGGGGTTCATGTAGAAATGTCGCTCAACTCCCCCACCCCAAACAACCCGGAGTTCTGTTAGCTATACTTTACTACCTCAACTAACGATGTTAGACCTGACTGCGCAGGTAAGAAAACGTGCGTCCAAATGACCAAAATGTCCTTGTTTGATAATACTAAACAATGTTTTGTCTATGCACTGCTGTACTTGGAGGGAGGCTTCTTTGCATTAATCTAAATGTAAACAATAAACATCCCTTTGGCGTACTATTCCTTTTGGACTTTTTGCACACAGACTAAAAGTGGTGTTTCAAAAAATCTCTGTCAAATTAACATGCTAGCTAGTTTATCAATTCGCCTCTTTTCAAGTCAAATATACTTTTGAAAACATGGACTATTTATGTAAAACCCTACTTTCGCGTATTTATCAACGTGTAATTGATAACACAAGCGAGAAAAACCAACCTCTATTTCCTTAAGTGGTGGAACTTTGACGTGCTTACCAGGCATGATTTCGTTAAAAGCACTACAAGGCAGATAAATGCAGGTTAGTCCGTAATTAATCATTAGGAGCTAGTGTCGTGTAACTGATTAAAGAAATAAAATTCTTACCTGCATAGATTGATGAAGGCAATATGGAACTTCTCAAAACTATCGATTTCCTCCTTACCGAAAAAATTGTCAAATAGTTTATCCGTTGATAGTGATTGCATTCCGGGAAGTCCTATATATAAAAAGAAAAAGGTTACGGTATATATGAGCCATACTCATTTGTGAGGGACATTTAGAAATGTTTTTAATTTCCACTAAAGATCGAAAAATAAAGGCTTTCGTTTAAATTGGCCCCTTAATTAAATCCCTCATAGTTTGACTAAGAAAATAAAGCTTGAATAATAATATTATGAAGAGATCAGAAACAATTAACTTCATATCTTTCTGGTCGGCACGTACTGGTCTCTCAATTTCTGGCATGCACAACTATAGTTTAAAGATAACACTTCTCAACAACCTACACACATCTGTTCAGCTACCGCGCAGATATTAAATTAATTACGTACCGAATTTCTGCAACAGGCTAACAGTGAGCCCCATGATGGCTGGAGGATTAGGAAGAGAATTAGCTAGCTAGGGAGCTTTTTCGGAAGAGACCCCTTGATTTGGTTTGAGAGCTTGAGGCAACGGCTTGTGTGCCTATATACATACGCACATAAAAAACGTACGTGGTTCTGTTTAAGTTATTAAAAGCGACAAGAGGAAGTTTAGAATTGTGTTCCTTTCCCCAGCTCTCCTCTCCCTCTGTCGTGAAGTCCTTTGGTTGTCTTTCGAGGAGACTTGTGAATGATTCATGACCTGAACCAAAAGTTTGCGGGCTAGCCTCACGTGTCAAGTCTGTTGGGATTCCCTGGGGGGGATGGCCCCCATGCCAAAAAAAAAGCCAAGGCCCCACCTCTGTGGTGTGGTAAAAAATACGCAGAGGCGGAGGAGATCCCCAAAAGTGTCCTAATTTCACTAGTAACGACTGTGCTAATCTTGCGTATTAATTGCACAGGTTAAGAGTTGGCAATGGGACGCATGCCGTTGTCACCTTTTTCGCCTATACTATCTTCCGTACGTAACCAACCTTACAGGACTTTCAGTCCAATCTAATTGATGTTTCCGGATTTTTACACCCTTGATAGAGGTGGATTGTCATAGCCTTAGTTACATGCTATCTAGATTGTTTCCTTCAATGCGTCCCAATGATTTCGTTCATGTAGGTAAATAAAAGCATATATAAAACATATATATAAATTTTCAGATACATATTCGTACTACAAGAAACAAATTTGTGAGGTCTTTAATTATTCATAAAATGTTGGTGGCAACTTAATTACAAGGAAGGATTCATACTTTTGTCTTGTTGTAATACAAAAGCACCTTAGAGGTTGCGTGGCTATCAATACGCAGAGATGTACGTAATCATTGGATGGAAAGTATTTTTTGGTTATTCTCACTGAAGCAAGAGCTAGGAAAGGTATTGTGGGATTATATTGGACAGTTGTGGGCGTAGGTCCTTAATTTGTTAAATCTAGAAACAAAGGGCGTGTTTAGCAAACTCAATAAAGTTGTTTTAGTGAAGACTAAATGCGTCTCTATATATGCCCGGCCCTATTTTGGCATATTAAAAAAGATATGTAGAGTGACTTGTTCTTTTGAGGCACGTACATTTCTATTCACTAATGAGACTAGGGACGAACCAAGTATCCCCTACTCTGAAAGAGAACTAGGGTAGAAATAGCCCCCATAGAAGGTAGCCTACAAATTAGATAAACTGAGTCTAGACTTTCGCTAATACAGCGAAAATAATATCAAAATAAAAGCGAAAAACAAAACTAAAAATAAACTAGAAAACATGCAAGATTTTATAGTGATTGGGATAGAAAGCCTACGTTCACTCCTCCTTCTCACGAAGGGGCTTCCTCACTATAACCAAAGTCCACCTAAATCACAAAACTTCCCGTTAGAATTGACCGCCCAACAAACCTAACCGTTGTCTCTCGTATACCCGTTTATACCTTAAATACATCATCTCAAACAATCATCAACAAATAAGAATTTGTTATTACTCAAACAAGAGATATTGTAAGATCAATGTACTAACAAGAACAACCAGAACAAGTGCAGGTTTTAAGCTTTAGGATAAAATAATTCTTTAATTGCTTGAAACAATTTGTAAATGGGTTGTATCAAGAATGAATCATTACAATGTTCTTCTGCGATCCTGCAACTTGAAGCAAGATGGCAAACTGGATAATCTCCCATAGCATAATGACACAAATAGACACCATCATTACATTATAATCAAAGTAACAAGGAATTCCAACTTCTATTTAAACATGTCATTATTGATATACTCGAAAAATCAACAGCTCTAAACTCTTTTACGCAAGTCCGCTGAACAAATTTCAGAAGCAACTATTGATGAAATAATTAGCTGCAACATCATTTCCACCACCAAGATCCAAGTTCAGAGAAATACAACCTGCATAGTTCATTGACAAGACGAAATGAATTATATCTCAAATATTTCATTAACAAGGTAAAATACATTTTAATGAAACCTATTTTGAGGAACTTGTAGTAATGTTGGTATTTTATACAAATATCTGATGAATTGGAGCAGCAAACAATAATAACAAATGTGGCGTTAATTAAGAATCAATCACAAGAAAACAAAAATTAGTAGAATGGAGCATAAACTTTACTCATGTCTCCAAAATAATATAATTAATTTGCTCCCAAAAAAATTTTAGATTATATCTTTAATCATGTTTTTTTAAAGTTTCAGCAGTACAGAAAGGCACACATACATACAAAAAACATGAAATTCCTTAACACCATTCATAACGTTCATTTTTCGTTAACACACATGTTTGAGACACGTTCTAAACACACGCGCAGACACGCTCACACACACAACACACACGCAAGTACACGCACGCATGCAAATTGTATGGGTACGGTTGTTAGGCACAGCTCTTTTTACCGTTGGATTTCACAGATTTATCAAGACTAAACCACCAATAAATTACATAGCAGACAAATAGAATTTATTTCCTTTCCTCTTCTTGTTGCCCATGTGCGATTTATTCATAGTTTTCCCCCCCTTTTATTTGCAGATTCTAGAGTCGTGTACTAATGCTGCATTTTTTAGCAGTTATCAATGCTTTAGGAGATTAGACTTGCATTATTATTTCCTGTATAGATATGGATATGAAAAATGCTTGAATAATTCTTCTAAGAAATCTATTTGGTTCACAGGTGACAGAAAAGCATACTAATGATCAATCATCATTTTTTTCCAATCATGTTCAACTTATGGAGCCTTAGCCAATAATATGACATAATGATGAGGCACCTAACTGCATGAAATATTCTTTATTTGGAAACTAAAAAACGTAGAAGAAAATAAAATTTGCATAAAAAATAAAAGGAAATAAAAAGAAATAAATCTTATGTTATCGTAACAAAATAGTCTTGCTTAAATGTAAGGAATCCAACAATGAAGATAGGTATGTGCAACTAAACCAATTACACACTGTGTGTGTGTATATATATAGACACATAAACACACAACACACACAGATATACATATATTTTCTCATACTAGATCATAAATCTTATCCTATTTTAATATTAAGTCCCCAAAATTTCATATTTGTAATTATGCCCACAAATCTTCATTTCTGTTTATAATGGGTTGTTATTTGAAACAAGGTAATCGATTTTGGGGTGTAAACTAGAAATCTGTGGGTGTTAATTACAACAACCTAATGGATTTGGGAACATAATGTGAAAATGGATAGAATACATGTAAAAATAAAAAATTACTTTAGCCCTTCAATTTGATTTCAGTCACATTGAGAACCATCCAACAAATGTCCAGAATGATATTATTATCGTGTCAGTGATAATCTCTCTACGAGAGAGAGCAGCACTCAACTCATGGCATTCTCAATAACTAATGAGGTATATCTTGCCAAAATCTTAATAACTCATGAAAGCATTGACATGCACATCCAGATGGTTCTTCCCTGGATTATGATTATTTGACATTGGCCAAACATTCATGTCACTTTCAATTGCCTTACCAAAATACTATTTTCTCAAGAAAATGAAGCTTTTGAAAGAAAAAACATTCAGAAAAACCTCCATATAGTTGTAGGGTTGTTGCACATTATGAATAAATTCATAAATTGACAATGTACACAAGAATAAATCAACAACTAGGATGTGCTTGTAGGAAACTATTTTCAAACCTAAAGGAAATCTGAAATTTCATCTTACCAAATTAACAGGAGGCTACAGTTTTACAGGGTAATTTTGAGGCAGAGCAAAAACAGGCTCATGATCTCCTTTCCCAAGATAAGCCAAGCCCAATCCATATCCTAATGCTCTCGACACTGGGACCGCAACAGCATTTCCAACTTGAATGTATCTACAGAAAGAGTTGAGAATTGAGAAATGAACGCGGGAATATATGTGAAACAAATTCATGTTGCGCATCAACTTGCATAAAAAGTTAACATGTGGAAAGGGGCAGCATTAGGGCATGTTTGGCAAATGGTCAAACTAGCTCATAAGTCACTGCAACATGTTTAGCAACTGGCTTATTTTGGTTTATAAGCCCACAAAAAAATCTCCCCTAATCCAGCTTATTTTTTGGTGGCTTATAAGCTATATAGTTTAACCAAGTAAATGTCTAGTTTACCCCTCAATAATTAAGATAATTCCAAAGTCTATTCAATGTTTAAATTTAGAGACATCCTTTTTGGTCATTTTAACAACAATGATGGATAATATTCCATCCATTTGCCAAACAATCTCTTGTTGAAAGAGGCTTATAATTCATTTTTTCATCATACACTTTGGCCTATAATCCACTTGGCTTATAATTCATTTGTGAATTATAAGCCAAGTTCCCAAACATGCCCTTAGTACATTTAGACAGAATTTATAGTGCAAGATAACAGGAACTTTAATAGTTGATAAAGCAAGTGAATTGTGACAAATAGGTCACAAGTTTGAGATATGCCACAGAAAATTTTAACAGAATTTAATCCTAAAAAATTAATCCATAAAACTACATTATACAAATTTGCCAGCTCAAGGAAAAATATTTATTCCACCTTTTTTTCTTTTTCTTTATTTTTATGAATACTCACTAGACATAAGTGTCGTGCACTGACACAGACACAAAATGTCCAACAAGATGATCGTCAAAATCAAAACTTGCATGCATATATGCGTAATTATGTATTATGTTCTGCACACTAAACAGTAGTTTACAGATTTGTAGGTATCGAACATGAATGAACAACTGCATCAGGTGCACCAATTTTTGTTGGATCATACTAATTAAAATGACTTTAATGGCCAAGCCGCATTTCTCAAAAGTCAAAAGTACAACATTTATATTCTATCCTATTTCTTTTTATTTCCTTTTATTTTTTATAAGTAATTATAATAGCATCATAGACTGCATTGCTTGACGCTTATACTTCTATTCTATCATATTTGAATCTTATATTTCAATCCTTAAGTGTACAGGAAAAAGGGCAATTACATAGATCCACATGTTACAGCCAGGAAAGTTTTCTTTTTCCTTGTTTATCGCTGTTACAGCATGGAAAGTTAAACTACAAAAAGATATCAGTAAAACAATAAAAAATCAACAGTTATATGTATACAACTCGTAACCTTCATATTGTAGAATTGCACCGAATGTGTATCACGTGCATGTTAATAATGTCTCATGCTGTGGCATGTCCATCTCAGTGTGACAGCATTCATGAAACATAAGGTTACATAGATGTGGACCTTACATTTCTCAAGTAATTAACAGATATAAACACTGTTATAAATAGCAGTAAATAGCCTAGCAATAGCGACACTAATAGCATTGGCGGTCCCTTCCCGTTACCCTACGTTGTCACCCAATAACGGTGACATATTGAGGAATATACGTTTTTCGCTTGCAAAAGCGGCCAAGAGCGCACCACAGCAATGAGTAGCGAGCAATTGCGAGCAAAAACCACTTTTTATCGCTATTTAAAAACGGTTTGAGATTTATTTTTTTAAGTTAAACCCGACCCAAAACAACTACATTCCACCGCCTTCCTCGCTTTCCGGCGTACTTCTGCCGCTCCCATAGGCACCTCCCTCTAACACCTCGCTCAACACTTCCTCTCACCTCCTCTCGCCATGAGCTCATCTCAATGTAGTTCTCTTACCGCTTAGCTCATCTTCTCAAAGATGACAACTATTTGACTTCTCTGGTTATCTTCGGTATTATGTGACAGTTACATGTCTATTTCATGTTTAAGATCTCTTTAAATCATCAAATGCACTTTTAGATTTTCTAAACTTTTTTATAATTTTTCTTTTTTAATATTTATACATATCTAAATTAGGTCGTTATTTGACTTTGCGCTTTTTACCGCTATTTTTCCACAATAGCCCCAAATAGCCTTAGCGATGCCTCACCGCTACACGATGCTAATGGCTATCGATAGCCTTAGATATAAATTAAAGAAATATTAGGATTTTTCTTGATTCATTTCCTGTGTACAGAGGCTAGATTTATAAGCATGATTGGTAACAAATTTACAACAATAATCATAACAAATTGCCAGCCCATAATTGATATCTTCATGAACCTGTTACAGCAGCTGGAGATATAATTGGAGTGAATCAAATATTGTTACAGCAGCTAAAGATCATGATTGTTGGAGTGAATCAGATTTGGTTAATATAAATGTTGCTCAAAAATAAACATGAGCCGTAAATGGAAGTGAGATGGTCTCAACGAAGGCCTGAATTGCACTAGCCATACCATCCAAACAATGATAGCAGCTGGTACTTGATTTACTTTATAATCAATTCAGAAATTCTATGATAGTTATAAAGATCACAATAAATTAACCAATCCTACAATTTAAACTAACTTTAGCTAGGTGAAAATCCTCTGAAGATAAAAACAAGGGGTTTTTTTGGCAAATGTTCCCTGTACTCTGTGGTTAGCTACTTATCAGTTATCACCCCCACCCCCACCCCCCAAAAAAAAAAAAAATTATTAACATGTCCCCTAATTGATCAACATTGTCAAAACTATGATAGTCAAAGCTAGCCTATCATGCAGAACGTGCGATAACTATCACGCACCGGGCCTCGTGATAGCTATAAAAAGGATAGAAATAAATTTTAGAAAATCACTAAATACTAAAAATATTAGTTTTATACCCAAAATAGTTTGAGTATGGAATCTTTAGTTTTTATGCATCTTGTATGATTATAGGTTTGATCAAGGAGTAAGTTCTTGGAGTACGGTTCTCCAAATTGTTATCAAATCTCTTAATGTGTGTAGATTTCTTCGCATTAGTTGTTTTCTATTATATATTATTTAAATGATAATTTATTTTTGTGTAGAGAAATTGTGGATTAGATATGTTATTATGTTCATTATTAGTAATTGTTAACAAATTAAAATTGTGATAGCTATTTTTCTTTTACAAGGTAAATATTATTTTAGTATATGAGATTATTGAAAATATATCATTTCAAATTTATTGTTCAAATGCATTTATTAAAGAGTTCTATTTGACAACAATAAATTATCTATTCGTTTAGATTCATGAATATTCTACTTTCATGAAATTGATATGAGAAAAATTTGTAAAAGTGTTGAAGCATTTATATTGCTTTTCATGCTAGTGAAAATTATGTGTGATACTTTGAGCGAAAAGAAAAGCGTTTTAAATATCAAAAATCATTCGTGATACTTTGAGACTTCTCTATTTGTCAATAAAGTTTCTTTTAAAATGAAGTTTATTGCAATATGGAAGTGCACCGTAGGTTTAGCATGTGTTTTGTGCACATGTTGTTAGTGTTATCGAGGCACACACCTCGGGCACGGGGCGCTACAAGTTGGGGCAATTGCGCTCCGCACCTGAGGCGGGGCGCTACATGCACACGAGGCGCACGCCTCGCGTGCAACTCGTGTGTGCCTCGCTCGCGCCTCATATGCGTTTGACATTTATATCATGTAATAGACTCTTTCTTCTATTTTTTTTAAATAATTTACATATTACATATTTACATCATGTAATAATCATGTAATAGACTCTTTCTTCTATTTTTTTTAAATAATTTACATATTACATATTTACATCATGTAATAGACTCTTTCTTGCTAGTTGTTAATTTTTTTTTTAAATAATTTACATATTACATATTTACATCATGTAATAGACTCTTTCTTGCTAGTTGTTAATTCATCCTCCATCTTTTCATGTTTAACCTATAAAAATGAAATAGTAATTAATTAATTTAGTATACTTATTTGCTAACAATAACTTTCTTTTCTAATTAACATGCTAACTAGAAATTATGAACATGTAAATATGTAATTGTTATCTTCATTCTCCATCTTTTCATGCTAACTAGCAAATAGCAATTAAGAATGCTAACTAGAAAATTGTGAACAATCATATTTGTTAATCATTTAATTGTTACTTAAAAATACATATATCAATTTTAAATGAAAATACATATTTCTTATTTGTTACTTGCTTATTTTGTTTCATAGACTTTTGCTTATGTTGAAGATTATCTTGCATTGTGATTTATGAAAACTAATGAACTTCTCTATGTTATTCATGCTAGTTAAGACTCTTTCGTGATTTAGTATGTGAAATTATATTTCTTAGTTTTTTTATGTTACAATTTATAAACATGTTGCTTATATGCTATTTTGTCTTATGTTGGAAAATGTTAGTTTGAGTTATGCGCCTCAATTCAGTGAGGCGCGCGCATCGTTGCACATGGTGCGCATATGGGTCGTTGTCATGCATATCAAAATAAGCTGTGCATTTTGTGGACGTGACAGAAACCATACATAGGGATGCGTCTACAAATGACATTAAAAACAATACAAGAAACATACTTCATTGCACTTGAACTTTATCGTTACTAGTAATACTAAGCTTCTTGCAAATGTGATGCATGTGAATAAGCTTGGCGCCGTCAAAGCTTTTGAGTGCATTTCCCAGATATAGATATGAGAGTCAGATACCTGTATTTCTTAAGAAAATTATTTTCCATACCTCTTTCATGTGAACAAGTGGTAGCCTGATATTTCAGTTTTGGTCTTTTAAGATTGGCCTCATAGTTAAGCACAAAGGGTACTAATTACCTAATTACATAACTTTTGAATATTATTTATGAACTATGCGGTTGAAATAAATATGATATGATATGATCAAATTGTCAAGGCTCCGAGAACCCGGCAATTTGACATTATATATAGTAGATTTTTTTGAAGGGGAACCACATAAGAGATTTTGGATAACCTGAATGCCAGCAATTTGACATTATATATAGTATATTTTTTGAAGAACCACATAAGAGATTTTGGATAACCTGAATGCCAGCAATTTGACATTATATGTTGTGATAATTAAACACCAAGCCAGAGAATAGAACAATCACAAACACAATATTTACGTGGTTCGATCAAATTGATCTACGTCCATGGCAAGAAGGGGATAGATCTCACTAATAGAGAGAGGGAGTACAAATAGAGATTACACTCACTCAATAATCTCACAAACAACAAATCACTCTTCCTAACTGATCTTAGCTCTGATGGATTTCTCAAGTTCTGATAGATCTCCTAAGCTCAGATTATTCTAAGAAGAGAGCGGAGAGGGGGGGTTTTATAGCTTCCATGCCCTCTCTTTTGTCAACAAATTCGGCACCTCTCCCTCTCTCTTTGTCAACAATTACGGATCCAGCTCCCCTCTTTCAACACAGAAAACCAGCTACACACTAAAAGCCAGCCAACCCCCAAGTCAACAATTTCGGCCCTTTCTCTCTTTCGGTGCCTCTATATTTGACTAACATTATATATAGTATATTTTTTGAAGAACGACATAAGAGATTTTGGATATCCTGAATTCGTTAGGCAGCATGAACACTGTCCAAAATGATCAAGAAATTTGAATTCTGGTCAAGTTAATGTATCACAAGGACTGCTTGTGATGGCAGGCATGACAGAAATCACATTTAATGCTCAGGGATAGGCTAAGTCATTGCAAAGCTCCTGACTAGTATGGTTATGCATTACTAAGATACTCTTTTGCCAAGGTTTTGGATATATTAAGATAATATCTTTCTCTGTTGGTTTTCGACTTGTTTATGAGCCAGATATGAGTTTTACTACCAAAAGAAACGTGATAAAAAAGACAACAGTATGCCCTTAGTAACCAATATCGGTGTAGGTGGTTACAGGAAAAAGAGCAGGGAAACCAATATTGGTATAGGTGGTTCCGGAAGAAGTTTCATAAGCAGCTATGCAGAAGACGAAACTTTACCTCTGTTTGACTGGTCCAATCAGCTTATAGTAGTCAGGAAAACCCTGAAGTCTTGCATTTTCCCGAACAGATAGTACCCGATCTTGTTCTGGATGAATAATAATCTAAAGGAATATCATTGAAAATATCAGAAATGTTTGAAAGCAAATAGAAAAGGTCTTCAATTATTAAGAAAAAAGGACAAAGAATATCGGAAAAGACAGGACGAAAACCTGATTGTGTGGCTCTGCTCTTGTTACCACGGTTGGTACAGTCTCATCCCACCACAGACGACCAAAGGGCCTTTTAGAGTACGAAGTCAATTAAGAATTTTGATAAAGTTTGAAGTCAAAATATTAGACAGCACAATCAATAAGGGCAAAGATGAGTACACTAACTTTGGAGATTTTCCATTAATATAGCTCAAGGCGTAGTCAGGCACCTGAATTACGAGAGATGTATAGGATATTAAAATGCCAATTTACCAATCATAAGTCTCGAAGCAAATGGAGATAGAGGTTACCAGTGGTTTCCCCGAAGGTAAAAGTGCTCTTGGAACAGCTGTATCCAATCGAGCTACATTGTCTGGACCCACCACAACACCAGGTAAATTTCTGAAGTTTGCGCCCTATTGTTAACGTAGAGGGGAAAACAATTAGCTCAAGTTAACAAAAGTACCAAACAAATTTAATATTGTCAGGCTGATTGATAAGTACCTTGTGCTTAGGTATCTGACATACACGTCCGTGATCATCTTCATTTAATTGAAGAGGTATGTGATCATAAATTATCTGATTCAACATCTCTACAAATCGAAAAAAAAATATGAAAAGATTTATGAAAAGTAATAATATTACATATGATATTAGATGATAAATTGCAAAACAAGGAATAAGAAATTATGACAGGATTAATAAAAGAAAAACTCAAAAAGTAAGAAAAAAATGAAAAATAACAATCAGACCATGAGTATTCCACTGTGGCTAGCATGAGAAAAAATAGAAAAAATATGGTTTCAAGTTTTGATTGGCCAAATTACAGCAGTTAGATGCTTGTTACAGTAATGGTTTTGAGATCAACCTTTTTCTATATAAGCGGATAAAACAAATTTGCCAAAAAACAAAATTACCAAAGAATCCTGAATGCATGAAACAAAGTACTGGAATCTGAACCCCAATAAATAGTGGTTTTATGATTCAGGCTAACACTGAACTATTCATAGGCTCATCCAGGTATGAATTATTTTTGAATTCCATCATTACACAGCAAGAACAAGATTATAAAGTGTGTTATTAGTTCAATATTTGCTTCTGCTAACCGCTGTCATCTCACTTTTAAAAAATCTCTTGAAATTGACAAATGCTTTCAGTTCTAAATCGTGTACTCGACAAACATTAACGATAAGATAAACTGTGTTCACAATATGGACATTTAGTTCTCTGAGTTCCATGGAAACTGACTAGATTCTTGGACACTTTAACTGCTGATTTGTTGGATGTGGTACAGTAACAAATTTAGTCAGTTATTGCTTCATCTGGTTTCAGTAATAGATCAAAATAGCTCCATTTTTTACGGAAAAAAGTGTCAAACCAGTGGTTTTACAGATAGGACTCTTTATCTTGTTACCCTAAAATTACAAAGCTTCAAGCTAACGCATCTTATATGCTTATGCTTGCTGATTATGGTCTTGACGTTGGGAACTGGCTCTTAAGACAAACGTCGATGGCTAGGGAAAAGAGAGAGAGAGAGAACAGTACTATTGGAAATAAAATATTGGGAGAATTTTAAAAAAAAGACCGATTTTGCTAAATAATTAGTAAAATTGACCATTTTGCTAATTATTGGCAAAATCGACCTCTTTAAAAAATGTCGATTTTAAAAAACACCTAGCTTAGAACATACAAGACTATGTTTCGGCCACTCATTTCTTGTGCAAAATATATGCTCTAGTGTGATGTTAGGCATAAGAAATGAGTAACCAAAACATATAGGACTAAAAGTCCCGTATGTTTTCTAAGTGAACTAATCAGTGATTAGTCCACCCAAAACATACGGGACTAATAGTCACGTATGTTCTGAGCTAGGCGTTTTCAAAACCGACCATTTTTTGGCATGTTAGTCAAAAAGAGATCGATTTTACTAAATAATTAGCAAAATTATCGATTTTGCTAAATATTTAGCAAAATCGGTCTTTTTTTAAAAATTTCCCTAAAAAAATTATGTCACTTGCCTTTCATATTTGTAGCTCAGAAAGATAACAAACTCAAATTCAAAGATTATGCCAAAAATGATCCAATAAACTTACCCTCTCGTCTTAGCCGAATAAAACGTTGAAAATCAGTTTTAGGAGGGTCCACATAGCCCATTTCATCTCTAGACTCATCATTTTCAACCTAATAAAATAATGAAAAGGATAAGTTTATGGAATATATTTAAGAAAAACCATTTGCACAAAAATATAAAATCACCGGTGGAAGATCTGATATAGCGTCAGCAAGAAGCAACGCCTTTTGAAGATTCTTTTGTAGACACCCATCAAATGCTACGACGTGAGTCTAGAGGAAAATATATCATATAAGAAAGAATTATTAGCAAATAAATAACATTGTAGAATAAATAACATTGTAGAATAAATAACATTGTAGAAAATATTTGACAACCTTATTTATTTAAACGAAACAAAACAAAACAATTTGTACCTCAAATTCAACAGGAGAACCACCGCGTGTTATCACTTCATGCGTCGGTAAAGGAAATTGGGGCAATTTCTACGATACAAAACATGGCTTAAAACATGGAAGTGGTAAACTATAAAACAAGCCAATAACAGAAGCAAACCTGAGTTGGTTGAGCACCCCATAAAAATACCCTCATCCTGTATTGAGGAAGACCATAGCTCCCTGCAGCCAGAATCCCCAACTTTGCTTGATATCTCATTGACACCAACTGGCTAAGGGCATACCTTCCTAAATATCCCTTAGCAAACTTGAGAATGTCCACTACGTTCTCCATAAGTACATATTTTGGCTTCAAAAATTTAACAAAATCCATGAAGACAGCCATTTGCTTGTTCTTTTCATCCTTAAATGGATCTTCTGTTTGTCTAAATCTATTGAACCCACTTATTCCTTGGCAGGGAGGTCCTCCACAAATGACATCTACTTTCCCCTATTAAAGTAAACCGCAATTTAATTTAAAAGTAAATTTAAAAGGAATGCTTACTATGAGTGATAAGTTAGAATGAACCTACAGGTAGTGGCAAAATATTCTTCTTGTACCCATATGTCACAAAACTCCTTATACTATCCGTGCAGTTACTGTTTAGACCCCCAAAAAAAGGAGTCAGGGAATATATCGAACGACTACACTCAGTAAATATATGAAAAGAAAAATACCTTAGACCATCCACAGGTTCCCATGTGTCTTCACTGGATCCATAACCCTTCCACCGGACCTAGATGGATAATAAAAGATATCAAGAAGGCACTTCATAGATAATACTCTAAAAATCAAAAAAAAAAAGTTTCAAGCTAAACATTTACTACCTTAAATTTTAGGCCATCTTTATCAAGGTTCTCTGTTTTACCATAGCAAATCCCTACGAACTTCCCAACTTCAAATTCACCTGAAGCAACATTTGACTGTTCCTCAGGGTCCTCAATATCTGAACCATCAGAGCATGGAGTTTCACTCTCCACACAATATGTTTCCACTAATCTCTCCCATTCATGCAACAAGGCTAAGAAATCCTCTGCTTTCTCATTTCGAACCTATGGAAATGCATCAAACCAAAAAAGAACTTTTACGAGTAATAAGGAAATAAATTAAGACAAAGTCATTGAATATTAAGATAAGCTCCTATATTCTTGTGAACATATATCTAAAAATAGAAATCTTCAAAAAGTTTGCATTACAATTTTTATTTATTAACTGGAAGACTACAGTGCTATTCCAAAGTACCTCTGCTTCTGGATGGTTGAACCTTAAGCTTTCACAGGCGTAAGAATTCATATCAACTGCCCAGCGCTGCATGAAACAACAGTATATAAGTGAAAATCAAAATAACCATACACAAAATGCATGTTGAAGAATAAACGTACTGTTTTGAGATTAACGCCAGCCAAATTTGCTCCAAGACATAACCCAGTTGACATTGCACCACAACCAGAATATAGGTCTAGTAGCGAAAGTTCGCCATGAACATTAGAAGTGGTAGATGAAGTTGAGGTGGTTGATGACTCTATGACATCAACACCTAGCATATAACCGTAAAATCAAAATTAAATTATAGAAATTTCAACAACTCAATTGTAGTAAAGAGTAGAAGGTTATAATGATATAATTCAAGCAATATTACCAGATTGCAAACATGAAAACGAAGAATAAGCTACATTGAAGGACATATCGTAGTATAGATCAGAACCCACTATGGCATTCTCATTAACAGCCGAACCAACCTGTAAGATCCATAATTCAAAAGAGATATATATAAATTTAAAATAAAATTTTCAACGTTGAAGATTAGGGAATATTAGTTGTTAAATTCAAGATACAAACAACAGCACACTTACCTCTGGAGAAACATGAACTATTTGAATTTTTTTTGTAATGCAATTCAATGCATTATCATTGGTTTCATCAGACAAAAAGACCCTTCTAGAATCATGACAAGTAGCAAGTGTCCCGATAACCTAAAAAGGCAAGACGCATTAAGATTCATTCAAACAAAAATATCATTATCTACAAGAGTTGAGTGGAAAGACATACTGTGTCTTCTGCTCTAAAGAACCATCTTGCAGTGAAATATAATTCATTGTCGTAAGTGCTAAAAAACTCAACAATACGACAAATATAGTCCTTTTCTCCTTCTCCAGCCTGTTAGAATTTGCCATAAAACATCAATAATTATACCTGAAGGAAACACAAAAAAGAATATTTCGGAACTGTATTCAGTGCAGCCTTTAGACTAAAAAAATGCATATACATTTTATTTCCTAGGAATCAATTAGGTAGATAATGCATGAGTATCAACTTGAAAGTTGTACTACTGTGCTTTATGCCATACATGAGAATGGAGTGATATTCTTGAAATGATTATGTCAATAAACAAAATATTTCGATAAGCCTCAAATGACATGTTATTAACGTTAACTTTTTAAATGTATTTTAGTTACTAGTAAGTTATGTTTGGCTTCTGACATGTTTTTCCTCTTTGATTTGACTTTTTCATAAGTTTGTGACTTACAGGCATTTTAGTTAAATGTTATTTGTGAGAAATTGTGTTTTAAACCATTTTCTAGTGTGTTTGTTTATTAGGTAGAGTCTGATTGTGCTCATCATAGTGTTGTATCGGGGGCTTCACAGAAACAAAAATGTCTATACAAGAGTGAAGAATAATAACACTAAATAAACACAATGAAGACAAAGAGAACAACACACAATGATTTAACATAGTTCGGTCAATATGACCTACGTCCACGGGCGAGAACAGCAAAAACTTAGCCAATCACAGAAGAGAATATTACAAAGAGAGATCACTCTATTGTCTCACCAAAATCACACAAAGAAGAAAACACTCAAAAAAAACACTCAAAGAAAACCCTCTTTTTTTTCTCTTCAAATCTCTCTTTCTTCTCTCTATTCTGAATTTATGTTCAATGCTCTAACCCTTCACCACTCTCCTCTATTTATAACCTTCAAAAGGGTTGGTGGAATAGTATTTTGGGTTAGTGAAACAGTAATAGGGTTGGTGAGTTTAATTCAAAATTAAATAACAAATCTCCACCTTGATTTTGAATATGAAGATCTTCTCTTCACTCTTATTATCTAGCTAGATGCCCCTTACGGACTTAACCTCCGCTTGTTGAACTTAAAACAATTCGAAACAATGCTCGAACTTACGTAAAGGTACGGGCTTCGTCATTATATCTACTAAATTATCTATAATACCAATTTTCTCAATCTTAATAACTTTAATTTTCTCTATTAAAATGATACCTGACGTCTATATGTTTGATTCTTTCATGATATATCTGATGATTTGTTAAATGTATAACCTTCTAGCTGTCATAAAATATTGTAGTAACAACTTTGTGTAAGCCGAGATCTTCAACCAAACCTCTTAACCAAATAAATTCTTACACTGCTTTTGTTACAATCATATACTCACCCCTGTGGTAGATAAAGCAACTGTCGACTATAGAGTGGCCTTTCAACTAATGACACTACCTGAAAGAATGAATATATAATATGTCAGCGATCATCTCTTATCCAAATCGCCCGCATAATCTGAATCAGAATAGCCAAATATTCTGCAATCTGAATTTGTGTTCCTCCATAAATACAAAACACCACAATCTATATCCCTTCACTCTAATAGTATATCCTAGAAAGATAGTTTCTTTTGCTCTAGGTTCAAACTTACCATCATTAATATGAAAATAAGCAGAACAACCAAATACTCTTAAATAAGAGTAATTAGCAGGGGCACCAGATCATACCTCCTCATTCATATGCCCTAACCACATATGCCGCAAACGTGTGATGTTAGAATCTGAATCTTCTGAGGATGATACTGCTGCAGCACATGTCATTGTGTTGACTTCAAGGATATAGAGAGCATTTATCTTCTTTCCTTTCATCATAATAAGAGAGCCTTTACTAACTCTCAAAACTCTATATTCAGCCGAAAACTTAAAACTATTTGAGACAAATGTGCAAGAAATGAGATTCTTCTTTAACTCTGGTATATGTTAGACATTGCTCAATGCTCTAACAATGCCATCATGGGTTCTAATCTCAATTGATCCGACACCAATAATTTTGCAAAATATGTTATTTCCCGACAAGACATTCTCACCAACGATAGACTGATATGTGACAAACCAATCCCTATGCGGACATATATGGTAGGAACAATCCGAATCAAGAACTCACACATCTTGTGAACGAGTATTAATACTAACTGAAAGAACTTTATGTGAACTAGAAGACAAATTAGTTACAGTGACAACTGAAAGTTTCACCTCCCCAGACTTCAATTGTGAAATATCCTTTACTTTGAACGCTGGACAATTAGGTTTTATATAGCCATACTTGTGACAGTAATAACATTGAACATTTTTTCTTGACCTAGACTTTGATCTAGATATATTTCTAGATATGTCTCTACCACTAACACCTTTTTCAGGACGACCACGAGCGCACAAGCCTTCATTTTAATCCTCTCCTCCTACAATAAACACTTTCTTCCTTAACTTTTTTGAATGTAAGACTGATTTGACATCCTCTAAAAAAAGTGTATCTCTACCATATAACATGTTATTAACAAAATTCTCATAGAAATGAGATAATGAATATAACAAAATAAAGGATTGATCTTCATCAATTTTAACATCAATGTTCTTTAAATTCATAAGAATAGTATTAAGTTCATCTAAATGTTTTTTAATCTGCATATCTTCCTTCATGCGAAGGGTAAAAAGGCATTGCTTCAAGTAAAGCTTGTTCGTTAGAGATTTCATTATGTACAAGCTCTCTAACTTGAACCACAAGCTGACTGCGATATCTTTATTGGTAACCTCCCGTGAAACCTCATCGGCCAAATAGAACTGTATGGTATTATGCACATTCATCTCTAATTCTTCTTTCTCATCATCTGACATAAATTCCTGCAACTTATCCTTTCTAGACAAAACTTTGAACAATCCTTATTGTACTAGGAGCGCCCTCATTTTTACTCTCCACAAACTTAAGTTGTTTCTCCTATCGAATTTTTCTATTTTATATTTTACAGAAGACAACTTGAAGCCCACTAGAACAGTAACCGTACTTGTAAACAGTAGTCATACTTGAAATATTAACAGTACTTATGAATAGTACCGTGCTCATGAATAGTGTCAATGCTTTTAAAAAGTAAATGATAATTTAACTTATTTTATGAGGAGGATGGTCCACTTTAGTGACAGCTACAGAACATACGATAAGCAAATACACGTTCTAAGTCAGACTCTGATACCAATTTGTTACTGCGAGGGGCTTCACAAATACAGAAGATGTTTATATAAGAATAGAGAATAACAACATTGAATAAACACAATGAAGACAAAAAGAACATCACACAAGGATTTAACGTGATTCGGTCGGTATGACCTACGTCCACTGACAAGAACAGCAAATAACTTCACTAATCACAAAAGAAAAGATTGCAAAGGGGATCACTCTAATGTCTCACCCAACTCACACAAATAAAAGAACACTCAAAGAAAACTCTTTTTTCTCTTCAAATCTCTCTTTCTTCTCTCTGTTCTAAATTTCTATTTGATGCTCTAACCATTCACCACTCTTCTCTATTTATAACCTTCAAAAAGGTTGGTGGAATAGTGTTTTGAGTTGGTGGAAACAATAATAGGGTTGGTGAGTTGAATTCAAAGTCAAATAACACAAAGTTCTTATAAAATACGAGCAAAAGAATTATATGTAAAGGCAATGGGTCATAAACATCTAGAAAAACATGATCAACTGTCCAAATCTATGGTATACTGATTTTATAGCATAAAATAGCAAATGCATCAAGCCAAGTCTTTAAAATATTCACTTATAAATGTACATGCAGCCAGTACAAACTTGTGAGAAAATGGATATTATGGTTATCAGGAAAGTCAAAAGACTTCCACAAATTAGTAACAATTAATAGACTACTTTAGAAGTTACACTAAAAAAATTTACAAATAAAATGCTAGAACTAAGCATACCAAAACAAATATGTAAAATAATATATGAACACTATTGAATTTTATATCTGCCAGAGGATGAAAGGTGATCCTAATCCCAAAAAACAAAATTTAAAAAAAAACATTTAGAAAGGATACTCACCACTACATAAGCACAATCATGGAGATTATAAACAATGTCATCAACTTTGGCTTGCCAATAGTGGCACTTAGCTTTCAGCATGATATCATCATCTTTCCTACAATAGCATAGTAACATTCGCATTATGAAAGTGATGAATGAACTAATTTAATAGATAAACAAAACAATGAAGGAAAGAATCATTGAGACAAAATTCTTTTGTTTCTGATTAGGGGACTTACTTTTGTGTGATTGATATCCGGTTCCCAGCATTCTGAGTTTGTATATATGAATGAATAAAAGAGAAGGAAAAAAGTAAGTGAATAGAACAAAGTCCAAATTGGACAATTTTAGAAATAGATTCATAATATTTGTGCTCATATTTCTACTACAGTTTTATTGTTTGTAGACAAATAAGAAGTAAAAGAATACACACACACGTGTGTGTGTGCGAGTATGCAGCAACAATATTATAGTTTTGTATCTATTCTTTTAGGCAAAATGATTTAGCACGTAACTAATGGCCTTATGATTGGATGCTGGTGGAATAATAAGCGTTGTGGTAGTACCTTAGACGGGTGTTAATGTCAGTACAGACAAGTAATGCGGATAGATCACTCAAAAGGCGGTTTTTAGGTCACACGTACAAAGACAAGTAATATTGTAGCAAACACTGTGAAGTTGTTCACACATATGCAGATATCACGTAAATGCCATGATTCAAGATCAGAATTTAATGTAAAGTAACTCTATGCAACAAGGTGGTATTTAGGTCGCACACATAAAAAGTAATATTGTAGCAAACATTTTGAAGTTGTTTATACATATGCAGATATCACGTAAACTCCGTGATTCAAGATCAGAATTTAAGGTAAACTAGCTCTATGCGAGGATGTTTAACTGTTGTTACTGCCATCAATGACATCTCTAATTTATTTATCAAGTTGAGATGAGCTCACATCATTACATGAGTATGTAATAGTAATAGGTAATGGTAAAAGATAGAGAGAATGAGGGACTCATCCAATCAGAAATAAAATGGCTTTTGATGGCGCAGGTACTGAGCTTTCACAGTGCATGAGCGATTGGTTAAGTACTTAAATGCCAGAGATAACAGACGTTGAAGGATTAAAATAGTTATACATCAATTAAAATTATCAAGGGATTATCAACAGAATGTCAGATACTTAAAGGATAGAAGTGTAATACAAGCCGTAAGTAACTAGAGTTCAACACAAAAAGGTAATTAACTTTAAACCAACTGAAAGCAAACTCAGATGACCTCATGGGAAAAACAATTTATATGAAATGGAATGATGTATAAATGCAATAGATATGGGCTTATAGGAACCAGGGAAATAAAAAGTTTGAAGCAGAATGCAGTTACTCAATGTTACATTTTAAATCCTATATGTGTTTTAACTTCACCAAGTGGTAACTCAAATTTGATATTTGAAATTAGACAAAATTTAAACGTAAATGAAAACATCTGTGAAATTCTCAATGAGCGTTTGGAAATAACTCAAAACAAAGTTTTTCAAAAATATATACGATTTCACATGAAAAAGATAATTTATATGAAAATTTAATTATGACACAAAGGCAAAATATCTGCCTTATTGAGGAACCAGATAAAGAAAAGCTGAACAAAATATCTGCTATTAGACCCCATTGAACTTAAGCCCTCAAAATTTTCAATATAAGCACTAAAATGGGTCAAGCCTAATCCGTTAAGCCAGACCTTTTATCCACATTTAAAAACTGCATTCCCAAATTCTCTATTCTCCAATCCTGAAATTCTTTACACTTGCGACTCGGCTCTATTAAAATGCAAAGTACCAATCCCAGTTTTGAAATCCCCTTCGATTACTTTTCGTGAGACGAGCGGTACATCGCCAACCCTTACAGACCGCTGCCTCCCGGTGCATCACTCTTTGCCCTTAAGAACATTTTCCACAGTGAATGTAATGAAGAATCAAATGTGCAACCGCACGAGTGATGATTTGTTGAATAATTGATCAGTCACTCGTTGAAAAAGATAAATTTGGCAACACAGACAATGGGAAAATTGTACGATGTTATAAAATTATGCAAACACAAAGTGAACAATTGTAAAAAAAAATTAACAATGTACTTCTATTGACTATATTTTGCTTTTACATATATGTTTCATTTGGTTTTGGTTCTGTCAGTATTTAGATAAAAAATAACATATAGTGTGTGTTCTTGTAGTATTTGCCCCGAGCGACCAAAGTTTCTGGATCCAGACTTGGGAAATGTAAAATATAGAATATGTGGTTACTTTAGGAGCAAGCGAAAATTGTTAAACTTGAATGCACTTCCCCTTTATCACATTCTACATCTGGTTCCTTTAGGAACCAGCAAAAAATGTTAAACTTGAATGTACTTACTCATTATCACAGTCAAGTCTTAACTCTACCTAATTACGAAATTCTAAATTGATGTTAAATCAGACAGCATCTTAAAGGAAAACAAAATGTTTGTGAAATTTTGATAAACCTTCCCTAGGTAACTATTTTTATATGAAATAGGATAGCTATAAATGCAAAAGATATGGTTCTTTTAAGAACAAGGGAAAAAATAAAGAAGTTGAAGCTGAATGTAACTACTCAATATTACATTTAAAATCATAAAACTGCTAACTCCATCTAATCAAAAGAACTCAAATTGATCTTTAAATCCTCGGAATATAAAAATAAACTGAAATTTTTGTGAACTTTTGATATGTACCGTCTCAGGATATCTATGCGGCCACCGTCTCCTCGCCTCCTCCTCAGGCACCGGGTCTCCAATGAAGCACGAATCATCAGCCTCTCCATCTTCACCATCTCCTGCCTTTTTCACAGCCACTCCAGTTTTCTTCTTCTTCGCCGCGGCGATCTCGCCCAAATAGTGCTCTTGCTTCCCTTCTTCACTCTCCTCTTCCATCAGCACCTCTTCAGCGTCGATATCAGTGATTTCATCCACCTTCGCTGCCGATTTCTTCGGCTTTTTGGCAGAAGCTCTTGTTTTCTTCGGTTTCGCCTCTTCAGTGAGATCTGCGTCGGGGATCTCCGCCGGCAGCGGCTTTTGAGCAGCCTTGCGCTTGGATCGACGGGTAGCCGAGTGGACTGAAGGAGGAAGAGACGAAGTCTCGGTTGCAGGCGCCATGGGAGAAGAAAGAGAGAGCGAAAGGAGGGATTTTTAGGGTTTTTGAGAGGGAAAAGAGGGAATTTGTTTGGGAGGGACGGAATCGTTGGTGATTTACTAGTTGGATTTGAAATATATATTGGATTCCGGAGAGAGGTTGAGAGGGAGACGAAAAATTGCGCGGGAGTTTGAAAAGTTTTAATTTTGAGTGGGGGAGAGCGGGAGCTCACCTGGATTTTCGAGGGTAGTGGGCAAATGGAACTGCGTCCGTTTGGACTGGGCCGGCCTGTTGAGATAAATAAGCTAGGTTGGTAAAGTTAGAAAACCGACAGACAGGGTCACATTATTTAGAGCATGTTTGGAGTCTATGGAATGTATAGTTCAAATCAATTACAATCCGTTTACTGTGGAATATAATCTAATACGCGTTCGATAAGTTTAGTTGGTTATAATCCGTTTTTTAGTTTTAAATGTTCGGAAAACGAGAGGATTATAACATATTATTGTTGTTAAAATAATCAAAAAAGAATGTAGATTCAAATTTAAGCATTAGAGTACTTACCAATACAGTTTGCTCATGACGGGTAAAATTATCTTTTAATTGGTCAAACGTCATGAGTTATAATATACCAAAAAAGAAAGTGGGATGCTCTAGCTTATGTTTTGTTGGAATATAACCAATCAAAAATAATACACTTGCCAAACCCCAAAACATGAATTACAATAAGCTTTGACTCCTTGTTCAGAATTTAAAAACGCAAGGTTGAGCTCTGCGTTTGAAAGACTGGAACGCAGCTGCAAGACTTGCACTCAGGAAGGCTAACAGCCTTATCCTTTAACGCTAGGAACGCGTTCCAAGTCGTTGGGACTCTATCCTAGAATCTCGCGCCTCTTTAACAGCTTAATTACTGTTATAAATAGACCCCTTAGGGTTATCTTTTAAGAGTCACTTAACTCTTCTTCTTCTCTATTAGCTTTCGTAATGGCTTCAAGAGAAACAAGCTCTCGCCTGAACCAGGCTGAATCGACCTCTTCAACTTCATCAATAACGAGAGCGAGCAGTGCTTCTGGCACCATAGTTGTTCAGTCGCCATATGGATCTGCTCACTCTGGTAAGCCATGACTCACATAACTTGCCTCGACAAAATTCTTTAACCCTGGATGGGTTCTTCATCAAGGACGATAATGAAGATGGTTCATCTTCTTTTGAATAAAACACAGGAATAGAACTCTGCGTTGTTTGTGAAACGCAAAGTTGGTCTCTGCATTTTAGAATAAAAACGCAGGTTTCAACTTTTGCGTTTAAGATTGGTAACGCAGGTCTTACCTTCTTTGTTTCAGATTGATAACGTAGTTCTTGAACCATGTGTTTTAGATCAGTCCATTGGACTTGTATTAGTAACTTGATTTAGCCACTAATTCCCGCTTTTATTTTCTTTAGCAGTTCTAGAGCAATCATCTAGAAAGAGGTCTTTCACTGTCTGTAGGCGTCAAAAAATGCCTATAGGTGTTGGAATACAGCTCGAGATGAAGAGAAGACGATGAACGTCATTATCTAAGTCCAAATAGGATTATCCAAAGACATAAAGAAGCCAACGAGACGCATGAAGTGTATCGCGCACGAGTCAACAAGGAGACGAAACACGCGTAAAGGCAGAACAACCACAAAACAAGCAAACTGAAGGGGCTATACATAGCCAGAAAGTCAAAAAGACGGACGAAGAAGGCCACGGGGCTCGCATGAGTGGCTCGCACACTAATTGGTGGTTCGCACCTGTGTGAGCCACCAAATGGTGGCTCGCACAGTTCCAATCCATCACGAATGTTCTCACGCCCAGAAACTCCCAAAACGCATTTTTCGATAGATTCTTGGGATTCTTTCTTTCCAGGACCTCTCCAACTATTCTGAAGCTATCCCTAAGTGTGGTTGAACGGTTATTAACTGCAGATAATGTCAGCTCATCAGTTCTCACCCGAAAACACGGCGACAAAAGCCTATAAATAGAAGCGCAGAGTCTTCATTTGAGAGGATCTGAAATCAGATGGCGAGGTGTTGTCGAATTGAGCAGTAAACCATGAATTTCAGAGGAGAATTGGCGAATCTTGGTGAACTTTTTCATAAAGAAAAAGCCTTCGAAAGATTTAAGATTCTCTCTCCCTCTTTCCTCCAGATTAAACTTGGTTTTAATTTTGAGAAGAGCCATAATCTCGCTTGGTCATTATTTTCGTTGCTGCAATTGTTTCCTTCGTAAAACAAGAGCATAATTATTTTGTTAACTGGATCTGGTCTGCGGTGGTCTATAGACTAACGCATCCCCGGCACAAATAAAGATCTCATGCAAAGCAACTGGAGATAAACTACTGCTGCGTTTTGTTGGATAAAGTTATAATTTTCACTTTTTTATTGTAAGAAGATCTTATAAAAAGATTGTCTTTTCTTTTAGTTTGAACTTGTAATCGATAAACGGTATAACAGGTTTAACAGCAATAAAAAAAATTAACTTTTGATAAAAACAAACTGGCGACCACAGTGGGAGTCAATAGTCTCGCTGCGGTGACTGTCGTGTCGCAACCACGGATCAAGATCCCGGTTGAAGCATAGGTCGAGTACGAGTTCGACCAGGCCAAGTTTTAGGAATACATCTCCTCGTCCTCTTCAAGATCTTCCTCGTTCCACAAGTACAGGAAGATATCAGTAGCAAAGAAGGATTAGGGTGACTCTCGCACGATTGTTGCTAAGACAGCCCCTCGCGATGCTCCTCCGGCATCCAATGCAACCGAGATTTCAGATCACAACTCAGTCCAGGAGTTGTTTAACAAAGGCGTGCCAATTCTGACAAAGAGGGCTCGTCAGAGGCGACGTTAACGCCTCACACGTCAGCTTGCCAAGGCCTTGGAACCAGTTGATGGGATCCGTTATCACACGGATATGAAATTCAAGGAGTGTCAAGCACGTCAACAGCAAGCAAATGGCCCCTCCTCCAAGCCATCAGCTAATGAATGGGTCCATGTCAAGAGGACCAGTTCAACCCTTGAGGAGTGCATCCAAAAGCATCGCACACATATCACACGCATGCGTACCTTAGCACGAAAGGCGCAAGATACGAAGGAGGACAAGAAACCACCAAGACCGCACCAAGAATGGAGGCCGAAATCCAAAACAGCGCCCAAATTGTTAAAAAATGTGAGACAGCCTATAATGGC